AAACTTACTGCCACAACTAGCAAAGATCCGAAGAGCCCACTTGAAAGCTTGATACAGTTTTTTCCCCCCTGTTTTTGGGGGGTGTTTGGTGTTTTTTGTAATTTGTTTGGGTTTAGTGTTTTTTGATATTTTTTTTTTCTTTTTGTATGGAGGGATTTTCTGAATATACAGTATTTCATTCTTCATTCCAGCTTTTGTCTTCAAGAACCTTGTTTAACCAGTTTTGTCTGTTATGTGCTCTGTGTGTGTTTATGTACATAATCTCATTTCAGCTCTCTGAAGTGGCTGATCCACAATTCTGTGAACTAAGAGATCGTGTTATATTAACACGTTTGTTAATGTTTCATATTCAACTTAAATCATTACTTTGTGACCTTTGCCTAGTTCTGTTACCATGGGTTAAGTTTATGTAAACTTAGTGAGAATTATTGCGAAAACTATATCAACATCCCAAAATACTAAATGTAGCAATGTAGAGGATTTATGAATGGGTACCAACAGGAGTCATTGATTAAAGTAGTGTCATTAAGCCTTAAGAATCTTTTGTTAACTCACACTGTTTACGTACAGCACCGTTGCAGGTAAGTAATGTGTGGACTGAAGGATATGGATCCACAACACAATCTGTACATCTCTCTGGCTTTTTTCCTCATTTGTACTTATTAGCCCTGTAGTGTTCAGTTATCCTTCTGCTTTCGTCCTCATCACTCTAACTCACTCTAATTCAGTGCTTTTGCAAACAGCTTTCAACTCCTTTTTTGAATGTGTGAGCCAGACACTGAATTTTAAATGAAAGCTGTGCCTTTTTGCTCGTGTAGACAGACCAAAGAGAATAGGATTACTGCTGGCTGTTAGCAAATACCATCTGTTGTACAGTTTAAACTGTCTATGCTGTTGCCACTTTCAGTTTTAGCCTATGAAGTGCAATAATTGGCATTCAAAATTTGTCAACGTACATAGTCATTTCTCCGTAATTTCAGTGCAGTGCTTTTTGTATCTTCTGCTGGCATGTTGTATGAGGGAAATTTTATGCAGAATATAGTGGGCCATCTCTAATGGTGGTAAATTTAATGTATGGTTTCTCTGTGAGTAACACTGATTTCTAGTTGCTTAGGGCTGGTTGAGTACACTGCCTGCATGGTGAGGTTTCGTCGTCAAAGGACACAACAATCTTTCTGCTTCAGCACCGTCTATGTATGATTCTGGCCTGACCCTCATGTAGCTGTTCAATATATGGATAGGGTTCTCTCTCCACCGGGTTCTCCCCTAATTGCTACAGGGTCTATCAGAACTGCATTTCAGTGCTTTGCATATCCTTTCTAATAATACCTAGGGCTCTTCTTTATCATGTTGACCTGTCTTCCCAAGAGAAGACCTGGAGGGAAGGTAGAAGGTGACATGGGGTGCCAGATAAGACTAACAGTGGATGATAGAAGAAGGGAAGGGGCTCAGAGTTTTTTGATACCCTAACTTTCTGTGGCAATATGCCACAGGATATGGCATATATTGTCAAAAGCTATGATAATCCAGAAGCTTCCTTTATGCCAGTGAAGAGTTCTGCACACAATTCTTGGTACACTAGGGGTAAACAAATATAGGCTTTTTTTTCTATTTAAACCCGGCTGTGTAATGAGACTCTTTTGGAGAAATGATGCTATGTGAGTGTTTTCTACTTAAAGAACATCTAAATTGTATTTGTGTGGCTTGACTTTCTTTATATTTCACTATCAAATTGAAGATACTTGTGTATTGTTTTTTCTAATATTGTCCTGAATGATATCCTGAAAGTGATCTTCCATGCCTTATGTGTATAGTACAAGTGTGGAAGGTAAGCTGATAGAATAGATACTCCTGTGTTTCTTTTCAGTCTTATCTGAAACAAGTTGAGAAGATGTTGAAACAATAGTGTACAGTGAAATGTGAATTGTGAAGAAAATTTCTCCTGCTCTCCCCATGTAAGAAGAATGCCTACTCTCCAACTACAACACAGTTAAACTCCCCATATATACTAAGAGAGTTTTCCTACCATCTTGAAAAAGTGTGTGTGTGAGAGAACGTCTATGTTTATTGCTGGTATTTTTTAAGACATACCCCTTCCAGGTGAAAAAAAAAAGGAATTTTGTACTTAACATGTTAGAGGATTTGTTTGGGAGCAGTTCATTCATGGGAAGGTGTAACCCTTGTAATGATGCCAAGGTCATCAGAGACCTGTGGAGATCTGCTGGTTAAGTGCCAGTCACTCAGGCAGCTGGAACTTCAGGCATGTTTTACTGATGTACCTAATTTATTTCCAAGATTTTAAATTAGGTTAATAAAGATAATAGTTGCAACTTGCCCTTTATACTTCTCTACCTTTTATATATATTCACCTAGCATCTTGCTAACTTACTGAAATACACAGTGAAAAAGGAAGGAGAATACCAGTTTACTTTCATTTTAGTGGCTGGAACAGTATCCTAAGATACATACAGCACAAGGCAGGCTGGAGTAGATCTCCAGATATGACTGCATCAAATGTAGGCTGAACTTAATTTTGAACCTGTTGGATTAAATACATATATATATGTATTTATGTATGTAGATCTGTGGGGTTTTTTAGTTGTTTGCTTGGTGTGTGTGCACGTGTACTTCTAAGTAAATAATGCTTCCTGTGTTGGTGGAGTAGAGCAAACGATGGTAGATGAGGTAGTGGAATCTTCAGGTGCAGTGTGCGTCTGCCGCAGTCCTCTCTTACTGTGCAGCCCTGTGTAGGCGGTTGGATGAAAAAGAACAGACAAATCAACATTCCTTTCCCTGAACTCCCCAGCATGCCTCAGCTGCTTTCACTCAGCTCCAGAAAGGGGAAATGAGACAAAAAGGAGCCACTGGTGGAGTGCTTGCTAATTAGTAAAACTTGGCTGTATGCAAAAAGCAAAAATTAAAGGAATATATAAATGCTATTGAAATTTCAGTATATGAGAACTTAAAGCTTCTGCAGAAATTTATTTCAGAGCTTTTAACTAGTCGTGTAACTAGAAGAACAAGTTTTTTCAGTATTTTCAAAAGACTAGAACTTGTCAGCCTGCTTATGCTGCCAGTTTTTGTATAATAAGTTCATTGACCCTGTAGACAGTCTGAATGTTTTCTGAGTTACTGCTTTATCAAACTAATTTGCATGATTTTAAAGCTGTTGCTGCTAGAAAACAATCTAGTAAGGGTACACTTTGTAAACACCCATTTATATAACTTTGCTTACTCCTGATGGGGAGGGGGAAATCAGGAGCTACAATCAGAAATAGCTTAACTGAGAAGTGGTTTTTGTGCTTTCATAATATATTTCACAAAATTATTTCTTACTGCTCTGTAGGATTTCTTTTGTTTTCACCCAGATAAACACAGTTTCACACACAAAGATGTTATGCTTCAGTAATTAATGTGTAATTACCTATTGTAACCAGATAATGTGGAAGCCAAAGGTATAAGTGGATTCCGAAAGGATGAGAGAAATTAATGGATGATACATATGTGGAGGAAAAAGAGTGAGAGCTGGGCATTTGTGGTGTGGAAAAGCTCACCCTGTAGTTTTTCTTCCTCTTTTTGTCCATAAATATTAGCTACGGCCACTGGAGAGAGCACTGGTCTAGATTGACTTGTATGTCTGTTCCGATGTTCTTAGTATTGTTTAAGGACTTAATGTAGAAGGGAGTAAGCCTATACATGAGAGCCAGATCCTTGTACAGTACTGCTGTGTGTCAGACCCTGAATGCCCAAGAGCAAGAACCACAAATTGTATCTTGAATTCTTTTATCTTCTTTGGAGGAGATTCTGACTGACAAGTCAACGGAGAGCAAAGATTAAATCCTTCCAGCTCTTCACTCCACAGAATTAAATGTTTACAAGTACATACCTGGTCTGTGTTATAGTGTAACAGTATAGATAGTATAACAATATAGACACATACTTCCACTCATGGTTTCCACAACAAATGGAAGGGTGTTTTAGAAAGCATAAGTGGTGGGACTAAGGTGATGATTAGATGAAAGTTACATGCTGCAGCTAGTTGCCCTGACAAAAACAATCCATCACCACATGTGACAAATTATGATGAATAATTTATTATAATTTGTCTTTGTGCTGTATATTGATTTGAGTTTCTGAAAAAATAACAAAGTGTATCTTTACAAACACAAGTTGAACTCCTTCCATCTTTAGGGAGTAACTGAAAACCAAGTAGAACTTCTACTGAATAAGTACAGCCCCAAGTATGGACTCTATGATATGCAGGTAGAGCTGCACCAGTACCACTGTAAGGTACTTCCAGACTCTATTGCTTGTGCCTGCCTGCTCACCATCTGCTCTTCTGTGCTGGCACAGCACTTTGTGGGATGATGATTTGGCATGGATGGGGACTTTTTTCCAGTAACAGCTTCCTTCCCTCTGCCCACTCTTTTTTTTCTTAATGTCAAGATCTCTTTATATTTATCTCTGTGTGTATTTATTACAGTTGATCCTGTTCCCTAAGCTTATTTACTCTGCAGCCCCACAAATAATTGCATGGATGTAGAGTGTTGTATGTTAGTGCTTTGCAATAAGCAGTGGGGCAGGACTGCCTAAATTTTGTGTTGCTTTGGAAGACACTCTTCATCAATATGTTCTTCCTTGATGTCTGATAAGTTTTTAGATTACTTGGAGTTACCTAATAATGGGATTTGCAAATGAAAGTATTTTAGGGGAATAAAGATTAAGATATTAAGGTGAAAATATGTGGTGGCAGGCGTGAGGCTGTTAAGGTGTTGTATGTTACTTTAGCCGTAGGTATGCATAAGGAAAAAAAATGTTCCTTATGTGTTCTTGTGCAGTAGTATGAGTAGAAAAATACGTTTGTAATGCATACAAATTCTTTGTTGACGTTTTAATGTTATATCCTAGCTATATTTGCTGTGGTGTCATATGAAACTTCTGTTGTAAAACAGCATCAATTTTTTTTTTTTTAAAGATGTAATGTAATTTGTTTCCACTAGAGTGCTGCTGTCCTTGCCGATGAAAGAAACGCCGCACAAGAGGTGCGGGATAGCATAGAAAACCAAGTCAAGGAGCTGACTGTGGAAAATGAACAGTTGACGAGAACAGTTGGTGAGCTAGAGAGTACAATTGAAGAATTGCACAAACAAATTGATAATATGAAAGCAGAAGAAAATTCGGTGAAGGAAAAAGTAAAGAGATATGAGGTAAGTTAAGAAAAAATAAACCCCTTTAAGGATTTGCAGAGGATACATTGTAGAACAAAAACTGACAAAGAGGAAGATGAGCAATGTTATTGGGAAGGATAAGCAAATCCAGCAGGTTGTCAAGAAGCATGGTGCACTTTGCTGACATATATAGGAAAGATTTCCCCAGTGAAAACAAGTGTGAAAGCAAGCCATAGCTTGAAATTGGGGAGATCAGTGATAGGCCAGAGTGAACATACTTGAGAGCTCAGTTTCTCAGATTAAAAGTCTTCCCACTAGTTCTTAAATGTATCAAATTGTATCATTGCAGGAAGAGAAGCAACAATTAGAAGAAGCTTTGAAACATGCTGAAAAGCAGGCAAAGGAATTATTAGTGTTAAAAATGTCTTTGGAAAGCCAAGTAGAAGATATGCAGGTAAGAATGAGAGCAATTTGGAATATTTATATTTTAAATTTCCTGTTTGTTTACCTGACTCACCAGTGCTTTCTACAGAGTAAGCACACTGCAATGTTCAAATGTTTCCTGAAAGCATAGCGTCATCTAAAATTGCTTTCTCGCTAAAAATAAATATTTTTTTTAACTTTCCTGGATCTAGCAAAATTTCAGGGAGATGAATCACAAAATAAACTGCCTAAGGTTTTATAAATCTGTTTTATTATTTTGAATGATCATTCAGCTCTGGTTGTTTGTAGGTGTTTACATGTAAAAGAATAAGAAGCAGTACTTGGATTGAAATAAAAATATTGGTAGTAGACAAATATCAGGAAATTGGCTTCTCTTTATTTTTTACAAATCTGTCTTATTTGCAAATGTTGCATGAAACTGGTATATTTTATTGCAAAACCAGAGAAATTTAACACATATCACTAGGACTTGCAGCCTCTTAAACTCTGTATGAAGTCCTTTTTCCCCCTTGCTCCTTAGTCTGCTCAGGACTTTCCTGCTCTATCCAGGAAAGGCTATGCTTTCTCACAGATTAGCCAGAAATTAATTATGTGGAGAATGCATCTCCTTCAGAGCAGTGGAGAGGGTTGTTGCCAATATTGCATATGAGTAAAGATGAAATGATTCAGATAAAGTGAAAATTTAGATCTGTTTCGTAAGGAGATGAATGTGTATAAATCTTAAAAGTCTTCGTATTGACAGCATATTCTGTATCTGAAAAAGAAATTGCAAACCTTTTTGTAATTCACCTTTCAAATGTATCGAAGAAGCATCTATTTCTGCAGTATCAGATAGTTTAGAATTCTCTTAGTTTTGCTTCTGGAAGTAAAATTTTTAAGTGATTCTATCAGACAAGTCGGACTCAAAAGTAAGATACGTGTACATTGCTAGCAACCTTTTTTTAATTGAACATATATTTTCCCTTGTTGTCTTCAACACAAATTTTACTTTACTGTTCTGAAAATGAAACTTTTCTGTAAATTGATTATAAACCAAGGGAAGATTATCTTAACTGGTATGTTAAGTATTTCTTAGTATTTAATCTGAGACATTTAGTTCATTTTTTTTTCTTTTTAAGTCTGTTTATCTGTTCTACCTCACTGATTCTACAAATTTGCTTGTATGGATAGCTGACAGTCTGCACAGTCACAATAGGTGGCCCATTGCTCATCTTTAGCTTGCATTTAGCAGTGTTCTTTAGCAGCTCCCTTTATCACAGTCTGACTTGACCTTCCTGCACAACATGAATCAATGCACCATATGCATCTCCTGCGTCTTGATTAGCTTTGGGTCAAGATGCTTGAAAAGTGTATTCTTTCTCTTCTGTTTACGCATCCTTCGGGGCATCATGCCAAGTAATGCTGCCTCCAGGCTAGGTCTCCAAATTAAAGATATCCAGGAAAGGTGTCAGATAGAAGAGTCTGTCTTGTCATTTTGTTCACAACTTATGTCTAATTTCTAGCACTCCAAATTTAATCTTCTGTCTGTTTCTACACTGTTCTTGTCCAGCGGATAAGAGCACTAACGGACTTCGGGATGTAATCAGCAGTCCCTTTTGTTTAGAACAATTCAGTCTTTCTGTCTTTAGATTTTTGCTTGTTTTAATGAATAATGTTGTGCAAGTAGGCTGATTTGGCCTTGTGTTACCTTTGGCAATTCAGACGACAAACTTTGGCACTGGCACAGTAATAATGCTTATCACAGTGGAAACTTAATTCCTGACTGGCTCATCTTGCTTTTTACATAATACAAATTACTTTTAATGGTGAACTAGGATAAGAAAGACAATGACAATATGAATAGAATTGTAACAGTTACTGTAAACATGGCCAAATCTATTCCTCCTCCATCCCAAATTGCTACTCAGTAATGTTAAAGCTGTTATACACTTAATTATTATAGACAATTTGTTTTAATGCTTTTGTCTAAAATAATCCTCAGTATACATTGAAATTTTCTTTATGGGTGGTCAAGCAATAGTATTTTTTTGTAGTGTCTCATGCTGTGTTATAACCTCTGGTTTTGGGTAGCTTCTCTGTAGTCCACTGTTTCAAGAAATGAAATTCATCTTAACATTTTTGCAACATTGAGAAGACTTTGGAAGTTTCTTGAGAACTGTCTTGGGAAAGGAAATAATTTAATATCATTATTATGCTCCTTAACTGTAGGATATATGGTACTAACTGATGGCAAATACTATGGTATTAAAAAATATCAATTATACCAACATTATGAGTGGCAATGCCAAGTATTCTGTGCTTTTTACATTATACTTTCAAAATACAGAATAATTTCCATGGGTGGAAGATTAAAAAACAAAACAAGGGGAAATGGGTTTAAGCTGAAAGAGGGGAGGTTTAGATTAGATATTAGGAAGAAGTTCTTCACTGTGAGGGTGGTGAGACACTGGAACAGGTTGCCCAAGGAAGCTGTGGATGCCCCCTCCCTGGAAGTGTTCAAGGCCAGGCTGGATGAGGCTTTAAGCAACCTGGTCTAGTGGAAGGTGTCCCTGCTGAGGACAGGGGGGTTGGAACTGGATGATCTTTAAGGTCCCTTCCAACCCAAACCATTCTATGATTCTGTGATTATGAAACTTATCTTTTCATTGTGGTAAATAATGGTAGGCACATAGAATTAGTATTTCAGAGCACTCTAAGTTTAAATACATTTTTAATTTTCAGTTATCAGTTGAAATGAATTATTAATTTTGTAAAGAGAAGGTTCAGTTAATATTGCTTGGAAAAATAAGGAAGTATTGCAATAATATTATAGGTTACTATGAAAACAAGTTATGACTTTTCTGCCATTTTGTTTTCTTTTCTTCTCTGTGTCTGGAAATTTGAGTGTGTTCTATTGTTATTTTATGGCTCACTGTCTTCTGGACTGCTGTCTGTCCACCAGCCTGAAACTGAGAAACAATGCTGTGGAGTTAGCCTCACTTGCACTGAAATTACACTTAAGCTTCCTCACAAAGGAATTAATTGCCACTACAGATTGGCTTTAAATTGGCAAATGACAAACTGTTTACTTGACTTGTGGTTATACTGTAACTGACAGGGCAGCCAGTTCCAGTGAAAAGTACTCAAGGATTTTGGTATGTGAAGGGAACTCAAATTAGGGCTTTTACTTGAGCTGACTATTGAAGCTGTCCTGTAGGACACCCCAAATTTCAAATACTGAAATTCAGTATAGTGTGTTGAAAGGCTAGACACTGAGGAAACTGCAGCACTTGGATAGTCAGTAGCAGTGTTTACATTGCATCATGTTTTTTATGCTTGAGTTAAGAAAAGTGATATAGATGGAAGTTCAGTGTTTCTAGCATGACATATTAGTCTGTCCCAAATATTAATGTTAAGCTAGACATGCTAATTTTTGTCAGTATTTTTCTCTTTTATCAACTAATGTAGAAAAGGGAAATACCATATCCTAATTTCTGTTGCCTGAGGAAGGTGGTTGTTGATGAGAAACTATGTATGACATGTTATTTCCTCGAATAATATTACAAGAGTGAAGTAGTATCTGTTTGTAATGCAGAATTTTTATTGAAACATAGATAATTTCTGTCGCAATGCTCAGATTTCATGAAGAATATTTTTACCCTATACCTACATTATCAAGTTTTCTGCTGGCTACATTTTAGCAAAAACACAAGGACCTTATTATGCTTTAGTGGTAATTTCACTATTTGAAAAATAAATTACTCAATGGCATGTTACTAGTTAAATAATACAGGTCATAATATGAATATCTATTAAATAGGTCTTGAGAAGAAAATTATGCAGAATGGTGGGGTAAGAAAACCATGATTTCCGGCCAAGCAGAATTCATCAAACCCAGAGAACAGTCACCTGTTATACACTTTTCCAAAGAGAGTGGTTGTACGTGTGAACCATTTGATTATACATTAAAAACTGAGTGATTTGATAAGAAACAACACTAGTGTAATTTTTTTCGGTCTTGTACTTTATATGTACACAGAGAAGCCTTTGCTTTCTCCAGTCACTAATAAATGTGATCTAACAGAAGGGAAGGCTGGAAAGTGATAGGAGTTTTACCGGGTCCAGTAAATCAAAGGAAATAAATTTCAGTCTCTAGCATCTCAGTCTGCTACATATCTGAAAATCAGGCAAGAGTTAGCGTGACCTACCACTGCTTGCATCGAGCCTCCTGTTACTGTGTTCTTTAAATATTGTAATTATTAATACCTATTATTACTTTGGCAATTGCCTTTGTTAGTAGATGAGATTTCTTCTCATAGTGATTGATTTTTTTGTTTGGTTGGTTGTTTTTAGGTTTTTTTAATGTTGTTGATAACTCTGAAGTAAAGAGAGTGACCAGATTTGCTCTGATGTTTACTTCCCTTTTCAGCACACTGAAACAGCAAAACAGCATCCTGCTTGCACTGCTGTTCTGACACAATATATTTCACTAAGCTGTGTCTGCAGAGTTTGTTTCTCAAGGTTGTGTAAACGAACAGTAAAGTTAAATGATCTGTGAAAGGCTGGTGGAGGGGGGCACACATGAGGTTTTTGTAACCTGTTCAGATATGGCACATTAGCAGGATCCCAAGACTTCAGCTGCTTTTAGAACCGAAGTGCTAAAGTTGAGCCTTGTAAACATTCTTAAAATCTTTTGGTGTCAGCTAAACCAATTCTGGTGTAGAATTAGACTTTGCGAAATGACATCTGTTAGCCCCCAGCATGTTTTAGGGTTGTATATACAATTCTTAGGCATCCACTGTAAGTCCTGTTTGTGTCAGAGATGTCTTTTATACGGGTTATATGGGAACATAAGAGAGACAACAAATCTAAAAAAATCTCTAACTTCTAACATTTGACGATGTTCTTTCTTTTCTCTTAGAACAATTATTTTTTTAGATTCTGATCTATATTGTGTACAGAAATACTACCATGCTTTCATATTTAAACTTTTTTGAAGTGCAATAAAGTAAGCATCATAGGTGTCAGATATTCAACAAAATTTTATATTCCCGATATTAAAATGTAAAACAATGTTTTGGAGTGCTTTTTATAATTAAGGATTATTTTGATTATTTACATTAAGATATTTTATTATTGTTTTTTTTAAACAGGTTACTTTCCATCTGTGTTTTAAGATTCTCACTTCTTCCTTCTCCCCCCATAATAAAATACCTTAATGGCCGTACTCTAAATAGACATGACAAGACTAGATAAAGGGTTTGTTTTTATGAAGTCTGAGAGGCACCATCGAATTGATTAAAACCAGATTATGGACAGTTTAAATTGTTACAACAGAAAAATGTTTTAATTTAACATTTAATTTACTGCAGGAGAACATCCGTTGCATTTCACAGGAACGGCAACAGTTAACTCAACGGTTAAACGATGAAACTCACCAGAAGGAACAGTTAAAGCAGATAAAGAATGAAATGGAGTATGAACGATGGCAACTGAACAAGACTGTTGAAAAGTTGCAGGAGGAGGTATGAGTTCACTCCAAAGAGGTTGCAGGAATCTCAGTATCTAACAGACAGAAGCAAATGAGCTGCCAAATGATAAAAGAATTATTTTTTTTTAATATGTAAAAGAAAGTTAAATGCAAACTTCACTATTAGCCTATTTAACCTACAGACTATCAATAAAAGCTTTCAAGGCTGGAATAGTGGAACACCACTATCTCAAAATACTGTTGTAAAACAGTTCTGTTTTGTTTAAACAAGATCCAAGATTTGAGTTCATTTCTAATGTATGCTACAGCAGTATTTCAGAGTTTCACAGCTGATTCTCAAAGCGCTACTGCATTATACTTATTTTTCCATCTGTATGTAAAACCTACAACTTGATATACTGAAGTGTGGCTGTACCCTCCGTTACATCAGTCATCTGGAAAAACTGCTGACAGACTAAGAGTCTTGCCACACATACTATTAGAAAATAACCTTAGTGTGTTGTGTTTTCACAATTCTGCGTAGAGATTCATTTGTTTGGAAAAGTTTGATAGATTTTTCATTTGAAAATACTGAGCTGAATATTGAACCTGGAGGAAAAAAAAACCTTTGGTGTATTAAGCATGGTAGAACCTTTTATAGCACTATTATAGGAAAAAAACTGTATGTACTTTTTTACCAGATGTCTGAAATGGTAGAGGTATCAAGAACATCAACGGTGGACCTTCAGAACCAGCTTGATGAATACAAGGAGAAAAATCGCAGGGAACTTGCAGATGTGCAAAGGCAATTGAAAGAGAAAAACCTTGAGGTAGAAAAATCACGCCTGACAACCATGAGGATGCAAGATGAGGTAATGATTCATAAACTCGGTGACAAATTCTAACCTTTGACCTAGAATTCAGCTTAGATAGTTTTCAAGACAATGAATGTTTGCTATTATGCTTTTGTGTACTTCATCATGAGAGACTGATCTCTATCAGCATACTTTCAAGTTTCATGCTTCATCATGATGATCAGCATGTTACTTCTGCCAGGGCAATGGAGTTTCCTGTTTATGACAGATAAATGTAGTGTTTGACAAATGATTGTATCGTTAATGATATGACAAGGATTCCATTGATGATTTGCTGCTCTTTTAATGCCTGCTACTGAAGGAATTCAGGATGTGGAAAAATTATTGAATTACAAAAAAAACCCAAACCCTGCAGTTAATTTAGTAGGGGGGAAAAAAAAAAACCTAACAAAAAAACCCCCACTAAACACACCAAGACCAAATTCTGGCTCTGAAGGAGTTGACATACATTCTCCTCTTCCTTGATATGAGCCAAGTTGCAGATTTAAATAACAAAGGTGTCAGTGCAACCAAGAATCAACCACAGTCTTGAAGTGTCTGCCTTTTAGCAGGTAGATTTTGACATAAAGGCAATCCAGTCTTTTAAAGATCTGCATATACTTGTTCTGCATTTGTAAAAGCTGTGAGAATACACTGGTCACAGATGTTTTCTGTATGTAGAATATTTTTGAAGTTTCATTTTTCCTGCTTAGAAGTTCTCTTATGTTGCCCTCTCCCTTTAACAAACTTGTTTTAAATTCAGTTTAAAAGAAGAGCAATAGAAGAAAGTTTAGTTCCTATGTATTACTCTGCCTTACTTCCATATGTATTCCATTCAGGGATGGAGAGGCTTTGTAAAGGGATGAAGACTTGTAATTAAATGTAAAAGATAAAACTGGAATATTGAGAACGTGGTTCTTAAGTTGAATAAATGAGAAGAGACAGCTTAAATAAGATATGTGTATGTGTGTATATGTAAATATGTATACACACTGTGTTTACAGTTATTATGAAAAATACTTCTAGTGTTATCTATTACAACTACAAAACAAATACAAAGAAAAGATTTCAGAACAAAATAAACCTTCATTATTTGACAAAAAGATAATCCATACACTATATAAAGGTCAAAATACTACTAGTTGTGAAATGCTACACCCCTATGAGGCAATATTTAAAACCCTAGGGCTTTAAAAATATTGTGCCAACTAGCTGCAAAAGAGGAAACAAAATCTGAAAATGTAGGATAGGCGGCTTAAATAGCAGACTTTGTGGAGAGACTAAATATTCAGCATAATTGCAAGTCTTTATTATCTCTTATTCTTTTGTGTTTAACAAGAAGTACAAATAGATAGTCCTTCTATTCAACGTAAAAGAATCTAGTGTCAGTCAAAATCCTCTTGTGTAGGTGTCATACTGCACAAAACTTTTTTTTTTTGAGAATCTCATCAAAAGCCAAGGATTGTAATGATCATGGCCACGTGAGTATCATCTTATTGTTCTAGAGAAAAATTATGAAACAACCTTGCAAAGCAGTATGGGAGTTCTTCATTGCTGTGTCTCCTTTAAGTTCTTTGTGGATATATAAAATAGACCAATCTTGAAAGTTGTCAATCCCATGTAATTCTGAAACATTTAATGCATATGAAATACTATTAATGTACAGACCTTTGCACTTAACTAGGTGTTCACCAAGTTGTGCAGGTGTCCAACATTTTGTTGTCAGGACTTAGCAATAGGTAGCAAACTCTGTAAACAGTCACTAATACGTTATTTTAGCTTCATCACTAAAATAATCACTTCACTAAACATTAAGAATATGGAAGACTGTATACTGAAGAAAAAAGCCCTCATCATATATTAAATACACGTCACAAGTAAAGTTACGAGTATAAGAAATGATCACAGTCTCATCTAAAACCCCTCTCACTATTACTATTTTTTTTTTTAAGTACTGTGAAGGTTTTAGACAATTTTATTGAATTAGAATAGGAAACTTTTGTCCTCAGCAGATAGCCCTACTATATCTAAAAGTTATACTAATACATATATATATGTTAGCAGTTATGTCATTGATAAAATGCTGTCATCAAAGTGCCTAAGACATATGAACTACATAATTATTTAAAAGCTAAAATATGGGTAGTCTGAAGAGGAAAGGAGTAATATTGCAAAAGTTCCAAAGATATAACCATTTCAAAATTTGTAAAAATTTTGTCTTACTGTAACTGGGTAAAAATAAATAAATAAATAAATAAACCCACTATATATAATTGTCACTGTAGAACCTGTAGTGTGAAGCATCTCATTCTGATATTTAATCCAAGTTTATTTTCTTGGTGCCATCTTGTGGATAAAACAAAAATGACTGTGAAAAGTGTATAACAATGCAATCCCTGTTGTGCTTCTGGACCTGTCATGTTTGTAGTCAGTCCCCTTTACTGACATCACTTATTTATAGAAAGTACGCTGTAAAGTGTATTACCATAATGTTATTGTTTCAGATGCGTCTTATGGAAGAAAACTTGAAGGACCACCAGAGAGCTCAGGATGAGGCAATAACAAAAACTCAGCTGCTAGAACAGACTGTGAAAGGCTTGGAGTATGAACTGGAAGCCAAAAACCACTTAAAAGATGATCGGGCAAGACAAATCAAACTAATGGAGGTAAAATACACTTTTAAGGGTTGGTATCTTATTAGAACTGATTAAAATAATTTTGGTATTTCACATGGATTCTGCCTGGGAAGAAACAAAATAACTTGATGTTGTTGAAAATCAGTGTAGTACTACTGCAAGAATTATTCTGGTATATTCTATGGGTGATCTGTTAGCATATCTATTGTAGCATGATGTGTTATAAATTGCAATTGTTCTTTCATAATTTTAATTAACTTTATTTTTAATTATTTTTCTCTAGAGTTTTGTATCATTTTCATTCTTAGGTCCATCACACAGAACTTCAAAAGTATTTAGAAGTGCAAGTTCTGTTTAGCATGTAATATGAATTCATTTCAGGAGCCTAAATAAAATCATTATTCTAACTACAGGGTTAGCTTCATAACTGTTCAGTTCATCTAAGCTATCATTTGACTTTCATAAACAAACACTTTTATGCCATTGTACTCGTATGGAATTTGTCTTCTAAATGTATAATGTAACTTAGACATTCTAAAAACAGTCTCTATAAACATTACAGGATTTATCTTATTTTCTTGAAATTGGTGGAAATGATTAAAAACTGAAATGAAACTTCTGTTTTATTTCTGCAACACAAATAAATTCACTTTAAAGGCTTATCTACCTGCCATCTCTTTTTCTAGATTCTGTATGTGTTTTCAGAGGCATTTCACTTTTCAAGCCTCATTTTTCAAACAGTTTGAGACTTTGAAGTTTAAGGAAGAATGCCCTGATAGCAATCTGAAGAGGATGGGAAAGTAGTATGTTGAAATTACTTTTCTTTGTTCCACTTAGGAAAAGTTATCTCACCTGGAACTTGAGCTTGATGAAGAAAAGAGTAATTCGGATTTGTTGTCTGAGAGGATCAGTAGATGCAGAGAACAGGTACTTGGTCAAGTTCTCTAGTTTTTGTATAATGATGAGGAAAAAGTGTTATTAGGATCACAAACAATATTAACTAAATAATGATTAGCAACAGGGTTTATATACTATACTAAACAGAGTTTGTAAATCCAAAAAAGCAAGGTTCACAAACGTGACTAAGTATGTTCCCCCACATGATCACAGACCTTTTTTTCCTGTTTTCCTAACTGGAAAACTGACACAGACTGCATATAAAGGCTGAAGACCAGTATCATCCTCTGATACTCTTGATGCAGTGAGCTTCATCAAGTAAGTGGTCATTGATGGGTGCAGAAATGATGCTATCTTCAGCTTAGTTTTAGGTGGTGTGGCCATCAGAGAAAGCCTACTTGTGGAAAGTATCTTAGATTGAAAGATCACAATTTTTTAACCTTACTGAAAAGTAGGCCAGTATAATAGTCTTGATTTCAAAGGAGGAGGAGCTTAGGAAATTGTGGAATTAATTAGTGAAGTCAGCTGAACTGAAGATGCCAGCCTGTTTCGACAGAGAGGAAGCTTTATTTTCATTACAAGTGTAAAAACTGATTAAGGTATATCAAAGATAAGACGGTTGGAAAGCATTTTCCACATGAAAACATCAGTCATTAGTACCAGAAGCATTCTATGAGTAGATAGCCCAGAAAGAGGGAAAGAAGGGTTTATTAACAAGGTTGTGTCTCATGGTTAGAAAATGTAAAGATAAAGTGAGATTTGCCAAGTTAAGTGAGACCTATCATAGTAATTCAGACAAGTTCCTGACTGTATAAGCAGAAGAAAGAAGTTGCGGAAACTGTATGATGAGGTATCAATCAAGATAAAAAGTAATCCAGGTATGCCTCCTTAAATAAATTAGTATTTTTCCTCTGTCTTCAGTAAGGCTGGTGAATATGCAGGTGGGGGGAAGTGGAGGGGGCTGATAAAAATGAGGCCATTTTGCTGGAAATTGCCAGTCTTAAGAAGAAGTCTTAAGAGAATTGAAGTCTTAAGAGAATTAGGGAGTTCATTGTTCTGAAGAAAGAGGCCTTAATAATATTATTCAAGATTTCTGAAATAACTGTCATGAAATTATAGGTCCTCTTACAAAGATTTATAATAAAGCAAAAAAGTAGAGAATAGGGCCTGATGTCTGAAAAAGTAACCAGAGCATTCATGGTCGAGTAGTCACTGTTAACACAAGTTTTGATTTGTCCATGGAAAGGAATATGGTGCTGTGGCTGTGTTGGACTATCACGGCCTAGACAATGTTTTTTGGCTTAGTTTTACACTCTGAAAGATGTGAAACTGATGCATAACTCATTACAGCATGTCTACTGCTGTAGCTTTACATTAAGTACTATACCTCATTGGTAATTTCCTAGAAGTCCAGGAGACAGTTTGCATTGAGGTACCACCCATGATAGTCTGTTCTGTTTTCAATTCTTTCTTTTCCAGAAAAAAAAGAATTGCTGACATTATTTTGAATAGCTTTAATTTCAGAGGGAGAACAGAAAGTAAAATATTAGTTTCTATGTCTTTTCAATGAAATTGTATATTCCAGTTTTCCAGTTGGAAAGTTTTAGAGCTCAGCTTTTTTTCATGCACCCTTGAAACACCAAGGCACCATTACTACTTTACTGGGATTGCAATATAGTCTTTTTTTGCTATTCTTCCATTGATATTGTACAGACTCTTGAGTCATTGGGTGAAACAGAATGTAAAGGACCCATAGTAACGTGGGGTCATGCTATTGTTAAATTAGGAAGCCTTTAATACTAGAGTCTATGCTGGTGTTGTAAGCCTGGGATAAAAGAACCTTAGTCATAGCTGCACTAGTGGGTACTATAGTAAGTTAATTTGCTAACTGAATGGAAACCTAAAATACAGAGTGGTGACCAAAATGTTACATAATGGGTAAAAGACATGTTTATTTTGCGGTCTGGAGTTTCTCATTTCACACATGAGTTATAAAGGTTGCTTTGTTTTGATTTTATGCCAGAATGACTAAGTAGTCAGATTACTAGAGAGTATTTCAGGCTCTGCTAAGCATTTATAATGACATGAGAAATTATAATGGATTTGTTTTGGTAATATCTGTATTTCTGTAAATGTTTGGTTTTTTATTATTATTATTATAAACGTGTTATTTTAATATACTGATCATGAACTATAATACTCAAATTTCTAGTGAGAACAGATTAAAACAACTGGTTCTATTTTACATAAAGCTAAATATTTAAATAAACATTGGCAAGGCTGGTAGTTCACCTTTCATTTACCATGAAATGTTATTATCCTTTTTTAATTGAAACACCCTTTTGAATCTGGGAATGGCTGCATGAGACGCTGTTCTCATCCCCCCCTACCTCATTCGCGAGAAGTACCACAACAAAGTGGAAACAGTAAAAAAATTTTGGGGAAAGGTGGATCATATCCTATAAGTTTTTAAATGATACAGTATTAGCAACTCTGGAAAGAGCAAAATGGTCAACAGACACATGCACACATAGAAAGCTAGAGTGCTCAGCTGCCCTTTGAGTCTAAAGCAAGGAGGGACAGGGCATGTTTTAATACGACAGGTTTTTTTTCCTGCAAACAAGTGAAATGAAGTACTTCTTGCCATTTTGTTTTTGCAAACATAATTGAAAAATACTTAAGATACCTTCATCAACTCCTGTATTCTGTGAAAATGCAACCATGAGTCTACTGAATTCAGAGCAGTTTCCAGTAAGTGTAAAAAATAGACTAGTTAGTTTCTGTGACAATTTTAGAATAAACACAGAAGAATATAATCACATTGAGTGCATCATTTATGTCCTTTTGGTAGAGCATTCCCAAATGGATAGCTATGTAACTGCTCTTTAGCTGACACTAGGTTTGGGAACCAAACAAATGAAAATGTGGACTTGAAGGTTGCTTTTCAGTTATGAAGGATCAAAGGGGTTTGTTTGGTTTTAGCTTGTTTGGTTGTTAAACATAATTTTTGTGGTTAAATACTTGAGAATTGTGTATGTAGGTATGTACTTATGTGTATATATATAT